TAAAGCCGCTTTCTTAGTGGTCAGGAAGGACTAGAAAGGCCCCGAGCCAGATGGAGGCGATATACAAGTACAGGTCCACTAAGTAACAAAAGTAAATGGAATATTACTTCCACTGTCTGTCCATTCTTCACTCATTCATCTGCTTCAACCGCATGAGAATTATCCAGAACTGGATCTGATACAGACTTCCACAACACATTTATAGGCATGCATGTAGAGTGCAGACTGACCTCGGTCTAGCCTGATCCCTTCATCGAAGCGAGAGAAGAGTCTGTAGCGTTGAGCCCAGTATTTAGCCAGCTCCGGTTTAGCTGCCATCTCTGCTGGGACCTGCTGCTTCCTCCCTCGCTTCTTCTTCTTCTTCTTCTTCTTCTTTGGCTTCTGTCCATCTTTCGTTCTCAACTCTACCCCGAGACACACACACACACACACACACACAAACACAAACACACACATAATCTTCATGATTAGACTGCACCAGAGTTCACCAGGATTGCCTTATTTTTCGACAAACAATGCCATCAAAATTTTTTGACAGATGCTATGCTCACCACTGTTGCCTTCAGGTGCATCAGACAGGAGGAAATCAGGAATTTCTAGAAATTTGAACTGTCTATCGGGCTGCTCCTTCTCCTCCTCCTCCTCCTCCTCCTCTTCTTTCTTCTCCCTCTCACTATCCACAGTCCCAGCAGGAGAGCTGAAGGAGGCACCAGGCTGACTACACTTCCTCCTCTCTGCGTCTAAACTGCACAGAGAATTAGAACTCTCTTCTTCTACAACATCTGTACTTCTTTCCTTAGCACTCTTCATATTCCTCCTCTTCTCCTTTACTCCCAAAAATGGAGGCTTGGTCTCTGGTTCGTGCTTGCTTCCTCCGTCCATCTCACACCGGTCACATCGACTCACCTGTGTCTCACTCTGGTGCCTTTCAAGGAACTTCTGGACCTGTGAAACAAACAGTCTGGATTTAAAGGTTAAATATATATGAGACCTTAAACATTAATACAGCAGCAAACAACACAAAGAGAATGATATCTGTGTGCATTGTTCTGAGCTGCTCTGTTCATTTCTCATCCTGCCGGTCTGGTGTTGTGTCATCTGAGTCAGATTTATTTCCACCAATCCAGAGTTGGTGATTGTTGGAACAGTGGAAAGACTAGCAAAGACGGTTTTGGTGAGTGTTTCGTGTTTCTGTCCACACTTTGTTACAATGTTAAGCAAGGTAAAACCGCTTGTCAATGGAGTCTGGTGGCAAGTGATATTACTGCTGTTTCTGGTCAAACCAAAGGTCTGTCTCTTTTCAGTAAAGTTGTCAGACACTCAGAATAACAATCTGAGTCTGTAAGTGGCAAAAACAACAACTTTTAGTGGATGGATTTTTGTATGCGCATTTGTCCCCCAAGGATTAGCTTACATCACATGGCAGCCATAGCAGCCTGTTTCACTGCTATTTTCTCATCTAACTCTGTGAATTAAGGATTTATTTCAACCAAACCAGAGTTGGTGATTTGTGGAAAGAGTGTGGAAAGATTAGCAAAGACAGTGGCGAGTTAGATTACGTTTCTGTCCAGTTTGAAGTGTGTTTTACTATTACCTGCTAGGTAAAATTACTGGTTTCGCGAATTGGAGTCTGGTCAGCTGTAGCACCTATTGTTTTGGTCTGAGATCCTGGCGATTTAGTGAGACAATTGACAATCCATAAGAATGGTTTAACCTATTCCATGCTACCATCCTTTTCCTGTACTGTCTTTACAAGGCCAAGCCAATTTTGAGAGAAAAGTATTGCATGGTTGTAGCCAATTGGTAAAGTATGTGTTACCAATATTCATGTAAGAATCTGTCACATAAAGACATCCAACAGATGCTTCCTTTCACAAAAGCGAATATTATTTACCCCTGTGGAAATATTTGTTTTTAATGGACAAGGAGTCAAACCAACATTATGGGAAAAAATGACAGATGGAAAAAGACAAACAGATTCATATGGGAGCCCATGTCTGCCAATGTAGTGAAAAAAAGGATTCTTTTAGTCATATAATGATATACCTTCTCAAAATATTATATTATAAGTCAATATTTTGAGAAACTTTCTTATTATAATGACTCACAGAATCATTTTTTCCCCCTTCACATTAGTAGAAATTGGCTTCCATAGATTCAAGAGTTAGAGTACAAGCAGATACTGGAGGAACACTGGTTTATGGGTTAGGGTTAGGGTTATGATGACATGGAATGGCGCCGGCGACAACGGCAGCCTGTCATGGCAGCTCCTATCATTGTTGTAG